TGCACACCCTATCTAAAAAGTTCAACAGCAGGAGGCATACCAACGGGCCTTCAGCTCAGTTGGTTCAGCTGAACAGAACAAAATCGTTCGGAATTACCTGGGCCTGGTTCAACTCTGATATCTCAAGGCTATCACCCTTTTTGGGAGACAGGAAGAAAGAAAGGAACAAAAGGGGTCGGAGGGTGGGGAGGCAGGGGCGGAGGGGGGACATGAAGGCATGTTTTCTCGCGGTTGCCAACACAAGGAATAGAAGAAAGAAACTGCTGTACGTCGAAAAGCCAGCCTCAAATGCTGGCTATTGACGATCAACATGCATTCAGACACAACGCGGTCATTTTACGTAAAGACTGCCAGGTGAATACCAAGAAAGATTTCCTCCCAACTTCGGGCATGGCCGCACCACTCTCGAAATGTGCAAAATGAGAGTGAACATCCGGCTAGAACATGGCCAGATGCACCCGCCACATTTGTCTTTTTCGCATTTGGAGAGTGGTGTGGCGAGGCGCTTCTACACGATATGCTCTCTCTCCTCGTGTCCTACTATGGATCTCGCACCACTGCATAACATTCTAAATGTATCTGGAGCTAATTGCGGCCCCCATACGTTCAAAACGTTTGATCAGTCTGAATGGATCTCTCATCATCTCCCACTCCATCTTCCTCATCACCATGGGCATCATCATCTGTGTTGTTTTTTTTGGTCGTCATCATCATCATTATTACTCACAGAAAGCACAATTTGCTCTCTCTACTCTTCGCCTTTTATGCCTGGAGAGTTACAAGACTTCCCGGTAAACGGTAGGCAGAGAAGGACAAGTGTATATATAGGGTTCAGCCTCCTGATGAGTCGGTGAAACTCCGACGAAACATTTTTCCACAGCCCCTGCATAACATTCTAAATGGATAACATTCTAAATGGATCTGGAGCTAATAGCGGCCCCCATAGGTTCAAAACATTTGATCAGTCTGAATGGATCCCTCATCATCTCCCACTACCATCTTCCTCATCACCATGGGCATCATCATCTGCGTTGTTTTTTTTGGTCGTCATCATCATCATCATCATTACTCACAGAAAGCACAATTTGCTCTCTCTACTCTTCGCCTTTTATGCCTGGAGAGTTACAAGACTGCCCGGTAAACGGTAGGCAGAGAAGGACAAGTGTATATATAGGGTTCAGCCTCCTGATGAGTCGGTGAAACTCCGACGAAACATTTTGTCACAGCCCCTCGTTTGTTGTCCTCTTCTCTCTTCTCCCTCTCTGCCTACGGTTCACTGGGCAGCTCTGTTTGATGATACATATCAGACAAATAAAAATAAAAAATCATACATCTATGTGTCCACTTTCCTTCTGTCTCAAAAGAGCCGTCCTCCTGCCTCCTACCATCGGACCTCGCGCCACTACTCAACGTTCTACATGAATTTGGACTACTCTCTGCATTGTATTCATTCATTCCGACTGATCCGACAACTGCAAGGTATACATGAATTTGGACTTACTCTCCGCGTTGTATTCATTCATTCCGACTGATCCAACAACTGCAAGGTATAGGAACCATTTTCAGAAGCAGATTCATTTAGGAGGCCGTGCAGTGGAGCGAGGCCCATCTCCTAAATTTTCAACAACAACGTGCGTAGCACAACAATACAGATCCAATTCCATCCATATCCGTGAAGCAACCCTTCTTTTTATGTCAGCCAACTTGGTCTTCTGAAAGTCCAACGACGTGATGGAACTTCCCTTCAACAGACAAGAACCTGTTCTTCTTGTTGGTCCATATGCATTCACACAAAAGGTCAAATGCCCCCTCTTTCAGAAGCTGCCACGTGTGCCAAGATGGACCTTCAGCAATCACCGCTCAAAAGAAATTTTAACGACCGCCGTCTTCAGCCCAGCCCAAATGCAGCTATAATGCGCCCGCCCAGAAATTATAGCTGCATTCGGGCCAAGCTGCGGTCAAGATATAGTGATAATGACCGGTCGTTTGGGGCGAAGATGGCGACAGGAAATCAAAGTAAATGCACAGCTGTGAGGCAACTACCTTCTTCCCTCCAAAAGTCCATCACTACTGCAAGTGGATTGACAAACCTGGCTTTGCCAAGAAGCCACCTACATTTCCGTTTATATCGGTCCATATGCGCTCCCAAAAAAGGTCAAATGTCCCCCCCCTCCCCGCTCCCCCTCACAAAAAAGGTCAAATGCTCCCCCTCCCCCCTGCCACGTGCGCCAAGATGGACCCTCCGCAATTACCGGTCAGTTTTTTTTTTTTTCCAGGACTAACGGGAAATAAAACTAAAAATGCACAGCTGGGAGGCAACCATCTTCTTCCCTCCAAAAGTCCACCCACCACTACTGCAAGCGGATTGACGAACCTGGGTTTGTCAAGAGGCCACCTCTATGTCCGTTTATGTCGGTCCATATGCATTCACACCAGAAGGTCAATTTTTTTCCCTTTTCCACAAGTGGATTGACGGACCTGGCTTTGCAAAGAAGCCGCCCATACGTCCTTTTATGTCGGTCCATATGCATTCACACAAAAGGACAAATGCCCTTATTGCAGGGGCTGCCAAGTGCGCCAAGATGGACCACCACCATTCACCGCTCAAACAAAATTTCACGGAAATCGAAATAAATGCACAGCTGTGAGGCAACTAACTTCATCCCTCCAGAAGTCCACCACTACCACAAGTGGATTGACGGACCTGGGTTTGCAAAGAAGCCGCCCATACGTCCTTTTATGTCGGTCCATATGCATTCACACAAAAGGTCAAATGCCCTTATTGCAGGGGCTGCCAAGTGCGCCAAGATGGACCACCACCATTCAACGCTCAAACAAAATTTCACGAGTCCACCAAATCGAAATAAATGCACAGCTAGAACGCAACTACCTTCTTCCCTCCAAAAAGGTCTCTACCGCTCCAGATTGGAAAGCCCCAGCTCTATGGAGACGCACAGCCTATACGTTCGGTCTTGGTTGGTCCATCCATATGCACTCAGACAAAACATCAAATACTGCCCCGCCTGTATGGAGATGCCGAGCCTTACATGTCCGGTCTCGTTGGTCCATCCATATGCATTCACACAAAATGTCAATTTAATACTGCAATGCGCTTCTTTCAGGGGCTGCCACGAGCGCCAGGATGGACCACCACCACCAGCCAATCAAGAAACACATATCACCAGCTCGAATCACATCCACATCCACAATCATCTAGCGCATGCACACCACACCATCCACCCCCGCTCCCTCGTCTCCGAATACAACAAATGCTGGTCCTACAAGTACACACCACCATCTACCCTTCTTCCCCGGAACGCAACCTACGTTCATTATATTCTCATTTGGTTATCTTTCAGTCTCAATACATCTGAATTTGGGGTAACTTTCAGTCTAAATACGGCTACAATGGCCGTACCTTGTATTCGGGGGAAGAAGGTAGTCCCACATTAATCAAATATAATAACGTCCGACCTCACTCAAATACAATAACGTCCGACCTCACTCAAATACAATAACGTCCGACCTCACTCAAATACAATAACGTCCGACCTCACTCAAATACAATAACGTCCGACCTCACTCAAATACAATAACGTCCGACCTCACTCAAATACAATAACGTCCGACCTCACTCAAATACAATAACGTCCGACCTCACTCAAATACAATAACGTCCGACCTCACTCAAATACAATAACGTCCGACCTCACTCCAACACAATAACAACTGTAGATCGATCGGTAGGGCCAACTTTTTCTTCCCTCCAAAGGAGCCAGACTTGAATGAAAGAAAGCCCAAAAAATCCAGGAGCTTGACGATACACCTTGGATCATAGAACGATAAGCAAGCCAACAAAAAGAGAGAAAACACAAGCGTATGACCGCTGCAAGAGCTCTTGTTAGTCCGCATCCGCATTCTCACAAAACGAAAAAAAAAAAGATTACCTTCAGGAGCTGCCACGTGGTCCACATCCGTCTCCACAAGTCAAATGCTCCCCCCACTGCACGTACTGCTCCACAACCATTTCCATACACAGGTCGACAAAATTTGTTCCCTTCCAGGAGCTGCCCCACACGCGCCAAGAACGACCGGCACTCCCGGTGAACTGCCGGTGAGCGCGGCAACGCAGAGGCATCCCTTCCCCCTAAGGGCGTCAACACACCACTCACGTTCCTGTTCATAGAAAAAAACGGATGCATCTTGCCGCCTTCTGTGTGAAGATGCACTCACTTTTTCTTTTCGCGAGTGGCGTGGCGACGCCGTAATACCGTCATGTTTCCAGGAAGAAACAAGGTCTCCCCTGTGAGCCCTTATCTCTACAACATGCACTCATCCTGAAATATGCTCCCCGGTCGCCCAAGCCCCGAAATTCGCCGTCGATATCCCGAAATTCGACGCGCGATAACGGCCACATCGGAGAAAAAAATGGCTGGCCGAGATAGTGGTGATTTCATGGACGTCCCGAAGAAACATGGAATGTAGTCCTCCGGAGCACGATTGTCGAGATACATAGCATTAAAGAAATATTTTTTACTGTAATTTCCTACGACTACGACCGCCAGATTTCGAAGCACCGCTTCTTTTTGTTGTTTTTTTTTTATAGTGCAAATGACTTAGCCTCCTCCTCCAAACAAAGAGAGCGTCTCCCGAAAAGAAAAAGAAAAAGAAAAAGAAAAAAAGAAGCAAAGAAAGGTCCGCGATCCTATCGGTACTTCGTCAAGGGAGAGGGAGAAAGGAGGGGAAGACAAACCGAAAGCAGGGCGTGAAAACTGGACAAGTGAGAAGAGGGCGGAGAGGAGGAGCGACGACGAGCATAGGGGAAAAGCGGCGGCGCAACAATCACTGGGTTGAGGAAGGAAAGGCGAAAGAATGGGCAGAGAGAGAGCGGGGAAGGGGAGGACAGGAAGCGGAGGAGGAGGAGGAGGGGGATTGGAGAAAGAGAGATGGTGGTCGGTTGAAGTGAAAGAGAGAGAGAGAGAGAGAGATGCTTGACGCACCTGCTGACGTAGTTCTGTGTGACGGCAACGGAGTCCTCGAGATTGAGGACGATATGCCACCAGCCACGGGGCACGAACACCACCTCTCCCTCCCTGCACACGCATTCCACCGGCCGCCGTTGTGTTGCTGCCTTGTTTCGGGCACCTCCCCCCCCCCTTTCCCCCTCCGCGCTCATGTCCCTAGATACGAGGTGGTAGAAGTTCATGAACCATTCCGTGATGGAGACAGGGGACGTCACGTCGGCGCCATCCGCGCTCGGATGAACGCCAGGGGGCACCATCTCCGGCGGGTACAGGACCCACTTCTTGCTGCCGCGAACGACGGCGTTCCACGCGGAGGTGCAGTTGGGATCGATGTGGAAGGAGGATCCCGACCTGGCCGGACCGATGATGAGCCAGCGATAGTGCGGACGGCCTTCCGGACCCAAGACGGAGAACAGGTCCTCGGCGAAATATCCAGGCACCTCGTAGTCCCTCGCAAGCTGCGGGACTTTCTCCCCGAATTTGGGGTCAAACAGATAGATAGGTCTCTCCTCCTGCGCGCGGTCAGCGTAGACGTAGAAGTCGTCAAGACGCATGTCGACGGGCCCGCACGCGAATTTCGCGCCACACGCCGAGGCCTGCGAAAGCAAATAGTCGCGATCCCAGAGTTTGACCGCCGGCCAGTCGTCGGTCAGACCAGAGATCAGCACCGGACGATTGGGCACCTCGAATTTCTCGACGAACTCCTCCACCGTCAGATCTGGCCATCTCCTCCGGACGATATTATCGCGCCGCAACCACTCGTCCTTTATGGACAGACTTGCACAAAGCCAACTGCACCCAAACAACAGAAGAATTTTTTTTTTGAACAAAGACCATATGTCAGACGTATTAAGGCGCCGCAACCACTCAAAAGAAAGAAGACAAAAGAAAGCAACACGTGGAGGAGCGAGAGGAAGAAGTCGCACGCTGAGCATGTATGATACCACGCCCACGCCTACATATCTTCATGGGACTTGCACACAGCCAGCTGTACCCTAACAAAGGGCCAAAAAAAAAAATCGAAGACATCAGCCGTTGTCGTGCAACACTACGGCTGTTGTTGCTTCATCACAGTACTTTGAAATAACCAAACGTCCTCCTCGACATCTGTTAAAATTGGAACGGTACAGAGAAATAAGATTAGCATGGTCCCTGTGCAAGGATGACACGCATAAATAGAGAAATGGTCCAGAAAAGAAAGAAGACCAAAAAAGCAACACGTGGAGGAGCGAGAGGAAGAAGTCGCACGCTGTGCATGTATGATACCACGCCCTTGGGACGTTAGAGATATAGAGGTATGCTGCTGGTGCATATATGCAACTCGTACACATTACACATACATCACGTAGAAATTGCATGCATACATGCATGCATGCATACGTATATACGTACATGTGCATACATACATGAATACGACTACGAAAATACAAATACACGTGCATACAAATGCATACACACGCACATGCACAATTGCATAACATATGTGCATACGGATACGAAAATACAAATACACGTGCATACACACATGCATGCATACACGCACATGCACACATGCATACTTAAACGAAAACACCCATACGTAAACAGAACCATACATACGTAAACAGAAACCCCATACATACACATGCATACGTAAATACACATCCACGTACATGCACGTGCACACATACACGTGCATACACATGCACACATAGACGACCATACACAAACATACACGTACATACACATGCGCACGTACACGTACATACACATGCACACATACACGTACACACGCGCATACGTACACAGAAACATGCATACGTAAACAGAAATGTGCATACATATACATGCATGGATGCATACATACAATACGTAAACAAAACACACATACAGACATGAATACGCAAAATACACCTACGCGTGCATACATACGTGCACACATACATACACGTACATACATACATGCACACATACACAGATCCATACGTAAACAGACACGTGCGTGCATATACATGCATAAGCATCCATACCTGGAAAATACAACCTAATGTAAAAACCGAAAAGAAACAGACGTACTCGGAAGAATTTCTTTCAGGGGGGGGGGGGGGGGGGGGGGGGGGGGGGGGGG